GACCAGCTAAGGGCCAGTCAAGGACAGTGGGGAGATTTTGAATGGCTACTACTGTAGGTGAACCCTTCTTCTTCCAGATGTGAGACTGATTGATTAAACAGTCCAGCTGTTTAACAGCATCACAGGAGTTGGGCTGCATTCAGGGTCAGTGTGTTACACAAAGGAACACATCCATCGAGGTTTATTTCATGTCATCATTAGAATATAGATCACATTTATTATCTCTTTGTTACATCTGTTATGTCCTCATTATTATTTATATCAGTATTCTATTTTCTCCCTCATCATCTGTAAAAACCTGCCGGTTTTAACTTCCCAAATATAAAAAAATAAAACTATAGAGCTGAATTTTTCTTCTTTTTTTTCCTTCTTCATCTACTTTTATTTTAGTGAACTTCATTTGATTTATTTCTATCTAGCTTTTCATGAAAAAATAAACTCAAATTAACTGGTCAGTAAATATGATCAAATTGCTATAAACCAGGAAGAGGCTTTTATTGACTCATCTCTGTACACAGGCCTGAGGGTGTAGTGCCATCTAGAGGAATTCATCCAGAATGCAGGCGAATAAACTGCAGTTTTAAAACATTTCAATATAAAACAGAGCAGAGGTGAGAACCAGTAACAGGTCTGATCTATAATGGAATCCATTAGATAAATTACCCTCAGAATCTCTCAGTTAAAACTTAAACACAAATTTAAAGCAGAGAAACAGCAGCTGCAGCGATGAGGCATCTTTAACTCCAACACTGTGGGGATTACTCTTAATAGGAAAATAAGGGAATGTCACCTAACTGCAAACTGATCCAAGAATAAATAAACATGGATTTAGGTACATTTTCAATTCAATACAATTCAATTTATTTCTATAGCGCCAATTCACAACACATGTCATCTCAAGACACTGTACAGTTCACCAGATCATTCAGTCAGATTGATTTAAAATTTTCTAAGGAAAACCAGTTGATTGCATTGACTTATTGACTCACAGGAATCCCTCTTACTAAGCATGCTTGTAGTGACAGTGGAGAGGAAAAACTCCCTTTTAACAGGAAGAAACCTCCAGCAGAACCAGGCTCAGTGTGAGCGGCCATCTGCTGAGGCTGACTGGGGTTCAAGGAGACAGAATCAGAGATACAAAAAGCAGCTGTAAAAGGCGGCCCCGTCCAGGAAACACACAGCCAGGCAGACGAGCTCCGAGCCAGCTTCCATGCCAGAGGATGAAGAGAGCACATCCAGCCAGTCACAGTCAGAGAAACAGGACTACACTGAAAAACAGGTCAATCTCCATCATCTATAAACAAAGGTGTTGATGGCAGCAGCACAGCTGATATTTCTCTCCAGGATGGAGTCACAGCCAAACAGGAACAGACCAGATGAAGCTACTATGAGAAAAAGCAGAGAGAGCAGAATGTTAGAGATTGAACTAACAGATTCTGCAGAGTGGGAGAATAGAGATAGAACGAAGCAGAATCATGAAAAAAGGGGTCCCTATGTCCTCCAGCAGACTAAGCCTATATCAGCATAACTATAGCGATAGCTCAGGATAACCTGAGCCACTCTAACTATAAGCGTTGTCAAAAAGGAAAGTTTTAAGCCTAGCCTTAAAAGTAGACAGGGTGTCTGCCTCACAGACTAAAACTGGTAGTTGGTTCCACAGGAGAGGAGCCTGATAACTAAAAGATCTGCCTCCCATTCTACTTATTAAATTCTAGGAACCACTAGTAAACCTGCAGATTGAGAGCGAAGTGCTCTGTTAGGAACATAAGGAACAATCAGATCTCTGATATAAGATGGAGCTTGGCCATTTAAGGCTTTATATGTGAGAAGGAGGATTTTAAATTCTATTCTGGATTTAACAGGAAGCCAATTAATTTTCCTTCATTTCAGTAGGTAAATAAGGTGATCTGCCAATGAAATGAGGATTTTTTTTTGCCTTTAAAATAAGATCATTAGGCAGCTGGAATAAGATGATTTGGTTATTTTTTTATTATTTGAAAACAAAAATCATCTTATTTCATTGGAAAATCATCTTTCTTACAGCTCAAAACAAGAAAAATACATTCACTTAAAATTAATCAATCTGATATTTAACTTTTTGTAGAGAGATTTCTTAAATACTTCAACAGAAGCAGCTTATTGATTTGTTCCACCAGAAAGTCTGTACGACTTCTTACTAAAAATAACATTTTCTGTCCCATCGAAGACTGAAAAAACTTGAAATGCGTTTCAGAATGTGATTTGATATTTTTTTTCAAAATAACAAAAAACAAAACAGAATAACTTCTTCAAAAGATCAACAACTTATTATTTTCCTTTTTGTTTCTTTCCATAAATCTTTGCCTTTACCATTTCTATCATCGGTTTGTGACCTGAAGTCAGTTAAAACATGGAGGAACCGATGAGATGCCTCAAAGTTATCAACTCAAAGAGATTCTGAAATCTGCTGAATCCAGACCCTGTTCCTGATTATTCACCATTCCCCCCGTAAGGATCCACACCATGAATAAACAGAAAATAATAATAACAAAACAATGATAATATTCATCACACTTTTAACCAGGGTTATTCTGCTTAGCTGGGAAAAAAAATAATCCATTAAAAAGCCTGTTTTTAATCAACTTCAGGACAGAATGAAACGTTCAGTTGGAAAAGATTAGATTTAAAGACCAAATCAGATATTTAGTGACGTCTGTTACAGTATGAATAAAGATAATGCGACTGAACTCATGAGTGAGGAGTGAGGGACAGATTGGTGTAGCGCTGGTAGTGATGCGGTCGCTGTATCGGACTGTCGTGGTGAAGATGGAGCTGAATCGAGGGGCAAAGATAGTCATGACATCTGGGTAATGACTGAAAGGACAAAATCACAAATACAAGCGGCCGAAATGAGTTTCCTTCATAGGGTGGCTGGGCGCTCCATTCCGGATCGGATGAGGAGTTCAGTTACCCAGGAGGAGCTCGGAGTATAGTCATCGCTCCTCCACGTTGAAATGAGCAAGCTGAGGTGGCTCAGGCATCTGTTCCTGATGCCTCCTGGTCGCCTCCCTTGGGAGGTGTTCCAGACATGTCCCATTGGGACCTCGTGGAAGGCCCAGGACACGAGTACGGACCTTGCCAAGTACGTTCTTGAGAAGAACACAGGAAAGGGGGGGCACACAGCATAAATATGGGTCAATTGGAACAGAAGCGTACTGATGACATCACCACACGCTCAGCTCACCTGGAGCTTCATTCCCCCTCCTGTTATTAATAGTCTCTAGATAATAATAAATTATTCATTTTTACATTTAGTTGGGGAATAATAATGAATGCAGTCAGATAAACACAAATCAACTGAACATTTTGCCAAATAAAACAAAAAAATTGCCATCATAGCCAGCATTCCTTCACACACGGCTATGCAGAGAGAGGGCTGCTGCAGACGAGCTAACGTTAACTCTGGGTGCTGTGGACGGACTAACGTTAGCCCACGAACTACGTTAGCCCTGGCTGCTGCGGACGGGCTAACGTTAGCCCTGGGTCCTGTGGACGGACTAAGGTTAGCCCACGGACTACGTTAGCCTGGGCTGCTGCAGATGGGCTAACATTAGCCTGGCTGCTGCAGACGGGCTAATGTTAGCTCCGGCTGCTGCAGACGGGCTAAGGTTAGTCCTGGCTGCGGTTAGTCCGCTGGTTGCCACGATCCTCTCAACTTCTAAGTTTTTTTTTTTTATTATGCATTAAAGCGGTAAATGGGCCATACAGAGACGCTTTAAAGTATAATGTTCTTGCCTCAAATGATCTTAAAACTTACTTTTATTGAACAATGGCAACAGAAAAGAGAACATTTAACTTAATACTCTGAGCTCTGTGAGTGCTCCATTGAAAGCTGCTGCTGCCCCAGTGCATGCTGGGACAGCTGTCAATCTCAAGGACAGACAAATCTGCTCGATGCATGATGGGTAAAGAGGGAGGTGCGAGAACATCTGGGGACTTTGTCCGTTCTCGGTCTTCTTGTTCTTGTGAACTGGAACAGTGCTAAGGCTGATAATGTGACGTTTCACGAGCACATGAGAACGCACAAGTACACATACTGAGCCCTGGATGAATATGTGTCTGTTTTGTTGTGTAGCAGCCCTCTCTCTGCATAGCCGTGTGTGAAGTACCACTGGCTTTGATGGCAAATTTTTGTTTTATTTAGCAAATGTTCATTTGATTTCTGTGTATCTGACTGTGTTCATTATTATTGCCCCACTAAATGAAAAAAGCAAGAATTTATTATTATCTACAGACTATTAATAACAGGAGGGGAAATTGACACAGATGTATGCTGCATGCTCCCATTCTCCCAGAGTCAACACTTTTCTGTGTTCTTCTCAAGAATGTTGGGCCATATGCCATGACCAGGGTTTTTTGGACATTGGGAACCAGTGTCCATATTTCATCTTGACATGATGACCAGAGAAGGAAACAAAGGTTTGGTGAATAACCAGCTATGAGATCTCTCCTTCTCATTGGGTTCTATCAAACTGGTCCTATACTCACTCTATTACAGATGGAGTAACGTAAAGAAAGTAATTTCTCCCTGGGATTATTAAAGTATTTCTGATTCTGATTCCTGATTGATGGGACAGGTGTTGCAAATGAAACGGTGCCCAGCTTGAAAGAGCTCCTGTGTGTCGCTGAATGTGTGCATTGATGACTGAAAGACATCTTCTGCCTCCAATTATCTGTTTACTACAGTGGATTGAATTCATGTTAATGTGGATTTAAAGATGTTTCAATTAGTGGAAAAAAGAAACGGGGAATATAAAAAAAAATATTGAAATCAAACAAAGCTTTCGCAACCCCCTTGCAGTACCTCCATGGACCCCCTAGGGGTAGCGGACCCCCTGTTGAAGACCTCCGCTCTAGAGTCTGGTGGTCATTTTTCTAAATTGTTAGCATCATAACACAGAAAGTATTTTTTTCATCATATTGGACCATTAACACAGGCCACTGCTCCGACACTTCGCTTCTTTAGTTTGAATACATTTTATTTTTATTATAAGTACAGTTCAGTAGTTACAAAACGAAGCATCTGCCATAAGGATACAGCAAAACATAGAGTGTTCAGCTCACAAGACAGGTTTTTACATCATATGTGGAATGGAATGATCTTTATAGCTGGTTTAGAGAAGGAAAAGAGCCCGAGCTCCACTCTCACCACGAATCAAATCTTTATACAGAAAACAGAGATAAGGTCAAAGGTCAAAGCTGTTGGTCAGTGATTTCACCAGTATGCATCCAGCTGGTTTGTTTTGACCCTATTTCCAAATCCCCAAAAAACAATAACTTCTCACTTTTCAACGCTTCTTCTTGGTTAGTATTTCGATTTTAAATCTCCTCTGTAAAATTGAAAGTATGGTTTATGGTGGTCTATAGAAATGATTCGAATGTAGCTTAAAGAAAAGACTGGCAGAGCAAAGTCCACTCAGGCTGGAGTCTAAGCTCTGGATGTCAGGTGGGGGGGGAGCAGTAACCGGTCTATGCTGTAGGTCAGAAAGGAAGAAAAAAAATCTGAGGAACCATTTTTCAAAGCCACATACAGTATAGATGTTGATCAAACTAAAAAATAAAAAAGAAGTATTATAGTTGGAGTATACATACCGCATTAGACTATTTTTTTTTCTCTCTGGGTTTTTTTTTTTCCTCTGGGTTCACAAAGAAATGACATAGAAACATTTCACAATGCCAAGGGACACACAAACACACGCTCGTTTTAGTTCATTAGCTAGTTTTGTACTGTATAGGTTGGATTTATAATACTATCACAGTGCAAAATACTTCTGAGAATCCAAACAAATTAAAGAAATCCAAAGGAGAAGCTCCTCTATGCGTAACGGATCTGTATATATGGGGGCACAGGAGACGATTGTCATCTTTTTCCTCTTTTTTTTCTCTCGTTTTTTTTCGATCAGTAAATGGACAAGGCATTAATGTACAGTACATAAAAAGTCGAAAGTAAAATCAACCCTACATCCTACAGTCTAGCACAGTTACATAGCTTTTGAAGTAGCAATAACAGATGACTTGTAATCTAAGGCTATACACATTATGTCTTTTTTCCAGTTTTATGCTATTTTTTTTTCTCAACTTAAAGTAAATACATCAAACCGTTTTCAGTAGTCAGTAACACTGTGCAACAATGATCGGTGGCAGTATTATACAAACATCTGCAACACTACAGTTCTCCAGGTTTGACATGGAAGAGGAAGCAAAAAAGGGGCTTTAAAGAAACAAACAGTTCTCACTCCTCCATTATTTTTAGTTCTTCTTTCCCACTCCAGAAGAACGGAGGCCATGTGATTGTGTGAGCGATAAACCGCCGTCACTCCTCTACTTTTCCCTCATCGCCAAACGTTTTAAACGTCGACTTCGCTGTATATCTCTGTATTTACATCGAGCACCTGTACTGCATTTTTAAAAATACAGAAGAAAAAAACAGTCAATGGAATAGAGCAGATTGTGTAGTGGGGGCAGGGGGTTGGGGGGGTGGCGCAGCTGGCACTACCTCCGGGAGTGAATAAACTGGATTAAAAAGCATCAGAAACAGGAAGTCATGACGGCGAAAAAGGTGTGGGGTAGGGGGGCAAGGAGCCGCTAGCATGACGGGAATAAGCTTGGTCTGTCGACAGTTTCTATTCAGCGGTAGAATACGTTCTACCGAGAGCGACGGTGGCGACAGGTCTCGGTCCGTTAGAAAAGATCTCTGCTAGGAATGTGTCGCCGATGATTGCAGGAAGTGTTCATCGGACAGGTAGCTTCATCCAGAGAAAAGAAAGGAGAACAGAAGCCATGACAACAAAGACAAGATGCATTCAGACCACAGGAAACACAAAGGAAGGTGTCCATCGTCTGGTTGAGTGTGCGAAGATGCTTGGAAAGTCATTAGGTCCATCTCGGCGGTCCAGAGAAGACCGTCTCAGACGTACAGTTCTCCTTCTGATGGAAGTAGTTTTTTTTATTTTAAATCATCTTAAATAAAGTCTCTATTATAGTGTTTTCCTTCATTAACCTTCATCCCCCCTTCGCCTCATCGTCGTCATGGTGGCCGCCGCTGAGCCGCGCTCTGGTGGACCGCCTTCAGTCTTTGTTCACAGCGTGGGCGTCCAGCCCTTTGGGCTCGCCCAGGTTATGGTTGTGGTTAAGGTCGTTGTTGAGCTGGTTGGGTTCGAGGGTCAGCGCGGGGTCAAGGGTCATATGCTGGTCCTCCTCTGCTAGCCACAGATGCGCTATAGCCAAAGAGAGAAGAAGAGACAGATTAGCATCACAAACATAATAAATTATTCAGCTTATTTCTATGGCGACAAAATACAACACACGTCATCTCAAGACACTTTACAGTTCACCAGTTCATCCAGTCAAGATTCATTCAAAGTTTTCTATCTAAGGAAAACCAGTTGATTGCATCGACTCATTGACTTGAATGCAATCCCTCACACTAAGCATGCTTGTAGCGACCTGTAGCGACCTGTAGCAACCTGTTAAAAACTCCCTTTTAACAGGAAGAAACCTCCAACAGAACCAGACTCAGTGTGAGCGGCCATCTGCTGAGGCCGACTGGGGTTCAAGGAGACAGAAGCAGAGATACTGAAAGATCAGAGCTAAACACCTTTTAGCTCTGAATCATCAAGTGAACCTTTTCTACTTCAGGTTTTTAGATTATTCTGTTTTGTTTTAAGAAAGTTTGGCTTCAGGAGCTGGAGGCTGAGTGTACATTTAGTCTGAAAAAAAAAATGGAATAAACAAAGACATACCAGTAATTTTGTTTTTTCACTTTCTTTAACTAAAATGAGCAATTTCTGAAAACGAACCATCAGCTGATTTATTGTTTTTGCCGAGAAATTGGATAATATTGCTCTCTTTACAGTAGCATCCATTCAAAGTGGCCCTTCCCAGCCGAATGGCAGCCCACCTCCCTGCAACTCCCAGCAAAATCCCCTCCATGAACCCAACTTTTTTTATGACTCTGACCCCTCCCTTTCCCTGAATTAGGTCCGACCAGGAGATGGCGCTTCTTTTTAGATCTTAATGTCAACAAATCATGACAGAAAGAATATTTTAGATTGATTTTTAAAAAGGAACTGTAGGGGATCAGCCAAGGAAAGTGGAGAATTTTTAAATGTACGTCTGCACTCTCAGCCACTCCCCCAAAATACGCCTGTGTTGTGTGCTGCTGTTTAACAACCTCCCTCCGTTCTCAAAGACCTTTCCTCTCACGGAGGTTGGAACCATTTCCACTTCCAAGCTTTTTCAGAGCAGACGGTTTTCCCTCCAATAGCTTTTCTTGTTGCTTCCCTGACAGCGTATTAAAATTCTAACATAACGCATCCTTTATTTGGAGCACGGTACAAATATCAAACTTTGAATACATCACAACAAAATCTAGTTACCACACCTGCGGTGGTCGTTTCATAAACATTACAAGCAACTCTCTCCATTCAATAAGGATGAAATGTGTGAAAAGAGTAACTCAATTAACTAAATAAATACAAAATAAAATTGAAGTATTGTAAAACTGAAGAAAATACATGGCAGTAATTAAAGACACACATAAACACATGCACTTTCTTTCCTTCCCTCAGTAACTTCTTTGGAAATTATTTTGCAATAAAAAACCACGGAGAACATTTGCATGTCACGCTCTTTTAAAAGTGCCGTTATGAATCTGACAAAATCAAATTAAAACAGGAGTTTATTTGAGCCCTGCTCTTTCTCTCTCTCTCTGTCTGTCGAGCACAGATATGGATATCAGAATGAACCGAGTTAATAACAAGATAAAACATCTCTGAGTCTCAGTGCTGAGTAATAACTCTGTGGCCGTCTGACAGAGCCTCCCTCTACGGTACCACTGGGAAGACTTCAGATGCCCTTAATTTGGACAGATTCCTCTTGCTTGTAATGTTGTTTACAGGTGCTGGTCATAAAATTAGAATATCATGAAAAAGTAGATTGATTTCAGTAATTCCATTTAAAAAGTGAAACTTGTATATTATATTCATACATTACATACAAACTCATATATTTCAGATGTTTATTTTGTTTAATTTTGATGATTACAAATGACAACAAATGAAAATCTCAAATTCATCATATCAGAAAATTAGAATATTGTGAAAAGGTTCAAAATTGATGGCCCCTGGTGCCACACTCTAATCAGCTAATTAACTCAAACCACCTGCAAAAGCCTTTAAATGGTCTTTCAGTCTAGTTCTATAGGCTACACAATCATGGGGAAGACTGCTGACTTGACAGTTGTCCAAAAGACGACCATCGACACCTTGCACAAGGAGGGCAAGACACAAAAGGTCATCGCTAAAGAGGCTGGCTGTTCACAGAGCTCAGTGTCCAAGCACATTAATAGAGAGGCGAAGGGAAGGAAAAGATGTGGTCGAAAAAAGTGTACAAGCAAGAGAGATAACCGCACCCTGGAGAGGATTGTGAAACAAAACCCATTCAAAAATGTGGGGGAGATTCACAAAGAGTGGACTGCAGCTGGAGTGAGTGCTTCAAGAACCACCACACACAGACGTATGAAAGACATGGGTTTCTGCTGTCGCATTCCTTGTGTCAAGCCACTCTTGAACCACAGACAGCGTCAGAAGCGTCTTGCCTGGGCTAAAGAGAAACAGGACTGGACTGCTGGTGAGTGGTCCAAAGTCATGTTCTCTGATGAAAGTAAATTTTGCATTTCCTTTGGAAATCAAGGTCCCAGAGTCTGGAGGAAAAGAAGAGAGGCACTTCATCCACGTTGCTTGAAGTCCAGTGTAAAGTTTCCACAGTCAGTGATGGTTTGGGGTGCCATGTCATCTGCTGGTGTTGGTCCATTGTGTTTTCTGAGGTCCAGGGTCAACGCAGCCACATACCAGGAAGTTTTAGAGCACTTCATGCTTCCTGCAGCTGACCAACTTTTTGGAGATGCAGATTTCATTTTCCAACAGGACTTGGCACCTGCACACAGTGCCAAAGCTACCAGTACCTGGTTGAAGGACCATGGTATCCCTGTTCTTAATTGGCCAGCAAACTCTCCTGACCTTAACCCCATAGAAAATCTATGGGGTATTGTGAAGAAGAAGATGCAATACACCAGACCCAACAATTCAGAAGAGCTAAAAGCCACTATTAGAGCAACCTGGGCTATCATAACACCTGAGCAGTGCCACAGACTGATCGACTCCATGCCACGCCGCATTGCTGCAGTAATACAGGCCAAAGGAGGCCCAACTAAATACTGAGTGCTGTACATGCTCATACTTTTCATGTTCATACTTTTCAGTTGGCCAACATTTCTATAAATCCTTTGTTTTTATTGGTCTTCAGTAATATTCTAATTTTCTGATATGATGAATTTGAGATTTTCATTTGTTGTCATTTGTAATCATCAAAATTAAACAAAATAAACATCTGAAATATATGAGTTTGTATGTAATGTATGAATATAATATACAAGTTTCACTTTTTAAATGGAATTACTGAAATCAATCTACTTTTTCATGATATTCTAATTTTATGACCAGCACCTGTATATCGGTGGAAGAAGCAGAGATATTTTTCTAAATTCATGCCGCTGTTCTGTCAGATCAGCATACCCCATCAGACCAGCATACCCATAGTCAATACGCACGTGCAAGACGTCAGACTTGCGTTTATCCCAGTTTCAGTTTCATACGAAAAATAGATTTTAAATTACCTCGACAGGCGTGTATCCCTTTAGTCACGTAAAATATAAAACAATAAAAAAAAAACACCATAAAGTAAGTAATTAAATCGTTTTTTTGTACATGAGTAAAGGGTTTCACACCAGTAGATGTAGTTTACAGTTTAGTTTTTGCACAAAGCTAAAGGGATAAACGGCAGTGGCGGCCGGCCCATAGGGGGCGCTGGGGCACCGCCCTCCCTGATAAGAAGAGAGAAACGTAAAATATATTTTTAGAAATTAACTCATAAATGTCAGTTTTACTCTCTAGACTGTGTACCTATAAGCAAAACAAATTATATAAACTACATTTCCCTATCTACTGTCATTCATTTGTGGATTTCCACAGACAGACTCCTACCGTCTCTGTTCTGGGGGCGCTGATCAGACAGCCCCACATTTGCAGAGAATCTGTCAATCATGTACTATTGCTAGGTGAATTTAATGGCCAATCAGCGTCTCGGAACTTTATGGTCTTGGGGCGCTGAAAATACTGCGCTTTAACAGGCTTCTGCACCCAAGCGCAGGTGCAGACAATTAGAGGGAAGATGGCGAATGTAACGACCGAGATGCAGCTTCCACCAAATTCGGTGAGATCCTTATTTATCTACCCGTTTGCCAGAAGAACATCCCTGTTGTAGGATATGAACATTTCCTGTCATGGTTATTGTGACTGTGACGAATCCACCTCGTCGCTTAAAACAACCTCTCTAACTTTGCGCGCCACACACACATTCCTGTTATACTGTGTTTGTGAGGACCAATACACTCGCGCTGAGACCAGTAGCTCCATGAACTTAAAACACACAAGCTGTTCCTGGTTACCTGCTGGCATATTGGGGGTGCACACTTAATATTTCAGTGGGGTTAGCCGTGTGTCTGTGTGTGTGTGTGTGTGTGTGTGGGGGGGGGGGGGGGGGGGGGGGGGGGGGGGGGTACGTGTTTATGCTATGGGGACTTGTCATCTTCAGTCTGGCTGCGTCTTTGCTGGGTTCAAACCCAGTTTGGTGTAATTGAATAAGTCAATGAATCTGTGTAAAAGAATTAAGTTGTAAAAATTACTTGTTTTTGTACATCAATTGTTTGTGGAGGTAATATATGGACAAAACTGATTAATGAGAAGAAATCAGAAATAAGAGAGCCTGAGGGTAGGGGCTTAAACTATTTAATGAGGGCTGTGGGAAGAAAAGCGGCAATTTTTGTTTTCTGTTTCTTTGTTACACTGCTGGTAACTGGAGGGAGGCTGAGGCCCAGAGTATCTTGTATGTGTAGTTTCTTTTGCACCCTGTTTTGAGTTCTTGAGCTCAATAAATCACCAACACCGGTAACCCGACTGAGACTGGATTCTTGGAGGCCAAAGAACCCCGTCACAGTGACCCAAATCATCACTGTTACTGTTATTATATAGTAAATTAAATCATTACTGTTAAATTGTATGTATTGTCCAATTGTTTATTTGAATTCTTATTCCGGATTAGTTGGAGACATACACTAGGCTATATCAGCCCCACCAAAAATATTTTTCACCAGCCGCCA